GAACAGTCAGTTGGTCCTTGAAAATGCCACGGAGCTCCAAAGGACGGATGTCAAGGTAATAAAGGAGAAGATGGTTATTGAACAAGCCATCATTTTTATTATCAGCACTGGAAGTCTTCCACTACAGCAGGTGGGGTTAAAGGATTCGGTGCAGGTGCGTGATGTGTCTGCATCGAAATAAAACCTTGTCACTTTTGCTGCCATGACTCACTGCTGTGCTCCACTTCTCCTCGCCGAGGCTTGAAGACTTAAAGTAGAGGATGATAGATTTACCTCGCATTGGGCCTCAACTCTCAAACAGCCATTATCATTACGGATCCTGCTGACTTCAGGGCTCATTTTTACAAATGGAGAGGGCTTTTGATATTTGAGAGTGTATAAGAATGGTTAATGGGCAAAACACAGGCCTCTTTGTCCACTCCTCTCTTTCTCACCCACGCTCGGCTCTCCCATCCTTCATCCTGCTTCTGTTTCCTCATTTTCTTCTTGTTTCTCCTCCTCCGCCCGCACGGCTCTCTCCTTCTCATGTCCTTGTCTCCTGCGTGCCACTGCTCCCCCACCCATGCCTCCCTTCTCTACCTGCTCAGAGAGTCCTTCCCCCACCCCCAGTGTCTCTGCTGCCACACAGTCTTTCAAATTAATGTAGAGATATTGACATGTGATGGGCCTGGGAGGCACAGATCATCAGAAGGGAGGGGATGTAAAACGGACAGAGGGGTTTCCCTATCATCCACCCTACAGCAGCTTACTTAGCCATAGCTACCTATCTGTGGCTGCCCAGCAAATATCCTCCATAGCTGAATCTCAAAAGTCCGCCATCAGATTTACTTCATCTATGACTCAGAGGAAATATTTTCATCAATGTTTTATACACCGTCACAAAAAATGACCAGGCACATAAATACACCTGCCTCCAATGATACACTTTGTCCTATGCAAACTGGATAAGGTGCTGCTAACAATGTGCAAAGGGCCAGTTGGTCAATACGCCAATTACATAGATGAGGGTATGGAAAGGGCATATGATAGCCAATCAGTGAAGTGCTTTTACTGTCTTCCAGCAAGAGCTGACCCTCTGACCCCGTTTGATGACCCTCAGGACCAAAGGTCACCTCTCCTGGGGGTCAGAGGGCATCGCCATGCCGCTGGCCAGAGAGGTGTCGCTATGGTAACAGCACTAGCCGAGGAATGGCAAGGTGTGGCGTTCGGGAGGAGAGGTGGTCAGTGTGGATGTACTGAGCAGTGGTGTGATGGGCAGATCGGGTTCAGTAACTGTGCAAGCCTTCAAATAAATGGAATTTAATCCATTTAACAGAAGCATCTTAGTAATTTGATTACTTATTTGTTGCCAACATTTAAAAAGTTAAGGCAACATATAGCTTCAACACTTCATGCTGTACATGAAACAGATACAACAGTCAAACATTTGAATTGCACCACATCATAACACCGTGATTTAACGTTTCCATTCATGTATGAAAATTACCTTGTTGAGAACAAATTATTTATAATTATACAATTATTTGTACACATATTATTTAATGATGTAGGCCAAATAAATGTTTATATAGAGTATAATAAATAAAACAAGATGTCCAGAAGCTAAACTTACACTTCTGACTGCAGTTCATCTTGAGAAATAGAATTCTCAACATGAGCAAAGGTCCGTCTTTTAATATCAATTATCTGTTGTGTAACAAAATTTTATCCAGTGATGGAATATAACAACGTATAATAACTCCTGTACTGCACTTAAGTACAATTTTGAGGTATGGCTACTTTACTTGAGCATTTTCTTTTTATTCTACTTTATATTTTTATTTTACTACATTTCAGAAGTACAACATTTTACTTTTCACTCCCCTACATTTATGTTATAGTTATAGTATAGTCCTAGTTACTTTTCAAATCAAGATTTTATACAGAAAACACATGATTAGTTTGTAAAATAGGACGTGTTGTTGCAGAATAAACTACCAAAAATACACAAAGTAGTTAAACGTAGCTCCACCTTGACCAAACTACTGATTACATATATCAGATCATATAATAATATATATGTCAGTAGGGACTCTACGTTATGATATGATTATTATTCTGTTTTATACTTTTAGTTAATTTTTACACTGTGGTTTTGAATTAAGGAAAGTTTCTGAATACATATTCCACCACTGCCTTTATCACAACCTTTGAAAATGAAACACACCTGACCTCAGTGCTGGGAAAACACATGTCTGGGCAGAAGCTTTAGCTTTTGAAACAGCACAGCAATGACTATTTTGTGCTGCCTTGCACCATCTTGTGGTGGTTGTACACACGGCTCCAGGTGTGGGCTCTTTATGGTTAGTGCCACTGGTTTATCCAAAATAAAACTGTATGTATTTATTTATCTATCTAACATTTGTGTATTTATTAAACACGAACCATGCATGTACAAAAACATTCCTCTCAAAATGAGAAGAGATTATTTATCAGTCCCTGGTCAGGTACAAACAGTCACCACTAAAAACATGCAACACCACACAGTCTCTGTGGTAAGTCTGGCTCACGGTCAAATTAATGTTGACATGACCAGCTGGTAATATTCTTTCAATAAAAAATAAAAAAATGAAAGTCTGTGCTCAGCTGTGAGCATATTCCAATGTTTGAGGGATGTAAATGACAAATCAGATTGGGCAATAGCAGTAATAACATAACATTAACAAACAATAAAATTTTTCCAAATATTTGTTTTCATTGGACCCATCACTTAGTCTAAAATGTGGCCATTACAGGTCGTTAAATTCAAAGTTTTTAAAACTTGGGTATAGCAGCTCAGGTATTTTGCCACCCCTCTAGATCCAGCCTGATTGAGAGGATTGTCAATATTCCTGGAGATAAATAAGTACATCTAATCTGATCATCTGACTTGTTTCTATCAGGTTGGGGGCCAGTGATGTAAATACATTTACTCAAACATTGTACTTTAGCACAATTTTAGCTACTTTACTATTTCAATTTGTTAAACTTTCTACTTGCACTCTACATTTCATATTTACTCCAAACCATTTATATGATTACTTTTGTTACCAGTTACTTTACTAATTCACATTATTAATACAAAATATAATCAAGAAATACATTGTAGTTCATGTTTATAGATACACTGCAGTAAAGTAATTCAAAGTAGCTCTTTCATCAGTGATATGATTCTGAAATGGGACTTTCTGCATAACACTTGCTGCTACTAATACCTAAAAAGAGAGTTTTATTTGTAACAGAGTATTTCTGCAATGTTGTCTCGGTACTTGAGTAAAAGTCAGTGCGCTACTTATTCTTAAGTTTAAACAAGCCATAAATCCCCAAAAGGAGTCTCTAAAATGTGACTGTGTTAACAGATTAGTGTACGGTGTGAGTACAAACACATACACACACAGTACATTTCCTCAGAGGTGAACCAGTTAAAACCTTTCAAGCTATAACGACGTACCTAAAACCGGTTCAGTAGATAACATCCAGGACGTCCCTCCCCTCCAGATCCCGCCCTGCGGAAAAATGAAAGATTTCGATGAAATTACGTCTTTCCTGGGCGACTACGGCCTCTTTCAAATTCTAATGATCGTTCTGCTCAGTTTAAGTGTGATTCCCTGCGGGTACATGGGGGTGATCGTGGTTTTCGTTTCGGATACTCCCGAGCATCACTGCAAAGTGTCGATCAACTCCACTACTCTCAACAGCAGCTGGATCGGACCTGACAGCTGTTCTCGATACAAGCTGGACGGAAACCGGACGGAGGCAGCGGGACTCAGCAACGACACCGAGCACTGTCTGGATGGATGGGTGTTCAGCACTGAGAGATACACCGCCACTATAGTGTCTGAGGTAGGCTGTGCAGCTCACTCTCCATTTCCTTTGTTCAGATTAGTTTCTCTGAAAGCTGTCTGATTGTCTTCTGTCGTGTTAATGCAGTGGGATTTGGTGTGTGACAATGCATGGAAAGTCCCTTTTTCCACCTCCTTATTCTTTGTAGGAGTCCTGATTGGATCCTTCGTAAGTGGTCACCTCTCAGACCGGTAAGTACTCAGATTTTTTTACTTAAATAAAAGTAAAGAAGTAATAACACACCGGGAAAATACTTTACTAAGTGCTGCATTCATAAAGCAAAAAGCAAGTAAAAGTCTACTCATTATGGAGAAAATGCTCCCTGTCAGTTTGTTTTACTGTGGGTAGTTTAATCTACAATGCATCATATTCTATAAGATCATCATATATTTGAGCTGTGAGCTCAAAAAAAAAAGAAAAAAAACCCTGCTTCAGCTTTGTGACAAAGCATTTTTCAGCTAATTGAAAAAAGGTTTTTATCCTAAGTAGGAGAATTTTCCTAACCCATAAAGGAATTTTAAATCCCCAAATTTGGAGACTCAAGGGTATAAAACAATGTAATCTGAAAAGTAACAAATGTAGTTGAATTAAAAAGTACAATATTTACCTCTGAAGTATAAAGTTGCATAAATACTCAAGTAAAACAAGTATCTCAAATTTGTACTTAAATAGGCTGCAGTACTTCATTAAATGTATTTGCAGTTACATTCCACCACTGTACAAATATAAACATATGTAGGCTGTCTGGTCTGCAAACTTAAATACTTAAATGCAGATGTATCTTATTTAAGAATTAAAAAACTTTGTCTCAGGTTACTTTTATTCCATATATGGTGCAACAAAACTTTATATCAAATTTAAATATGTTTTATTTCACTTATAGTGTCAAGCTGATTGCATTTTTAAATACTAGATGACTTTATGGTATGTTTAAAACAATTTGCACAGTTTATTATAATTAGGGCTTCTAGATTATTCCATTATTGACTAATCTGCCATTTACTTTCTCAGTTAATTGATTTTAATTAATTTTGTCCATGAAATGTTGAGAAACAGTGAAAAGTCATTCACAATTTAGCCCGCTGTCATACAGTTTCATCCAAATCTCAAAGATATTCAATTATTATGATACATGATGAGAAAAAACAGCAAATACTCACATTGAGAAGCTGGAACCATTATGCATGCATTATTTATTTTTAATATGTTATGTGAGATTAATTTACAGAAAAGAGATGTTATACTTTATTATGGGAAATATGATCCAGACAGAAGTAATGTCTTTATGTTAAATCTTCATTTTAAAATTGTATATGTTAAGTTTTATATACATGAATGCAAATTGTCTGGGGAAAGAAACTCAATATATAAAAACCTCTTTTTAATTAAATGTATGTACCCCTTTTCTTAAGGTAAATTTTTTTTTAAATATTTGGCATTCTTGCTTGAAAAATGACTTTAATCATGAAGCAATTATCAAAATAATGGCTGAAATTTTCAAAATAGTTCAACTAATTGGTTAGTCGTTAGCTCTAATTATGATAATATATTTTTGATTTGTTCTTTTACTGATGACTAATTTTACTGATGTCTGTGGTGCGGGCAGCAAAATCAAACCACAGTCAGAAAAACTGAGGGAATGACAGCAAGAGAAAGAAAAATGAAACAGGAAAAGTCTGTTAATTTCATGTTTCGGTGCATTTGTTCTACAGGTTTGGCAGAAAACCAGTGTTTTTTTTCACCATGATCTTACAAACAGGCACTGCTTTGATCCAGGCTACCTCCGTCAGTTGGGTCATGTTCTGTATCCTCAACTGTCTGAGAGGACTTGGCCAGATATCCAATTACATCGCATCACTCGTCCTAGGTGAGACAACACATGAACTCTCATTCAACATGGCTGCAGACCATTTTATATATACTTTCATCTTCTCTCTCATCTTAATGCTCCTGATCCTCTTCTTGGTCAGGATCTGAGATGCTGAGCCAGTCTGCCAGAGTGAGCTACACTCTGCTGGGCCACAGTCTAGGTTTTGGCATTGGTTATGCCTTGTTGTCGCTCTTTGCCTACTTTATACGGGGCTGGAGGATGCTGCTGGTTGCTTCTGCCATCCCCAGCTTGCTATTTATTCCACTGTGGTGGTGAGTTATTGACTGATGAATCAATCAGCCAATCCTTTATTTAAATTCAAATATGACTGTTTTTATTGTGCTGTGTCTCATGATGAGTGGATGCCAAGGATTGTATGTGATTTGTAACTTCATTTGATTGTCTTCTGAAATCATACATTATCAGATTCTACTCTGTTGATTTGATTTGAATCTGTGATAAAACATACATATAAATCATATATGATATACAATTGTCCAAATATAAACAAAACCAGAAAAAAACAAAACCAAAACAAAGAAACCAACTCAACCTAGAGAAAAGTAAAAATAAATAAAGGTCTGTCCATTTTTTGCAAATACATGAAACTGGTTTATCAAAACCAAAGTTCACTGACAGTATATTCCATTCAAAAGTGATAAGACTGTTAAATAATTTCTAAATGAGTCAATATTTGGCTGAAGTTCATGGTAAACAGCCTGCAGAAGTGCAAACAGAGATAATAACCCATAAGAATTCGCCTCTGTGTCCGCACCATGACAACTGGGGGGTCTAAATCAGTACTGTGTTCGGATGAGTGTCTTTATGCACTACATTTAAATTGTATAAACCTGGCTGTGTTGGGTTTTTATGGTTTATCTCTAAAACAAATACTAATCTCAAACCGAACACTGCATTCCTATTCTCTATGACATTTACATGTTGGTTGTAGTCCAATGCAACAAACCTGTATTGGTGTGCAATGCCTGTGCTGTGAAATGTAATATTTGTTTCATATGTTCAATGAACTTCTGTCTCTCTCTTTCTTTTCAGGGTGATTCCTGAGTCTCCACGTTGGCTTTTGCAGAAAGGTCGGGTGGAGGAGGCCGAGCTTGTCATACGTAATGCTGCCAAGAGGAACAGAGTCCCCGCTCCTGAGGTCATATTCAGGGCTAGCGAGTACTTAGAACTAATGGTATTTATTCCAATTTTACTCCTCATGCTGTGGAAGCTATGGAGCCCCAGTATAAAATATAGCTCAAACTGTGGTAACCAGCTGGTACTATTGGAAAGCAGACATTACACAATGTGATTGTGTTCTGTTTCTTTTCATATATGTCAGAAAAATAAAGGTGAGGAGGAGAAGACATACACTTATGTGGACCTGATTCGTACCCCGAACATGAGGAATATTACAATTATAGGTGTTTTCATATGGTAAATGCAAACTCATCACTCTCATCACCAGATCACTATTCATAATTAAAAAATATATATATATTAAATGCAGTTTATAATGAATTTCATTTATTACATTAATTAAAGATCCCCTCCAGACATGTACTAAGACATATATACAAATAGTCTGCTTGGAACAATAGTGTGTTTTATATGTTTTTTTACCTACTGGATCAGGACTGACTTCCAAACTATTTGCAATGTCGTAGTAGGCCGTCCCTTAAAATCTGATTTTCAGTGAGCGCAGAGAAACTTTCCACTTTCAGCAGATGAATGTAAAACATCCCTCTAGTGTCAAACTGCACATTCATCATTCTGTACAGTGCAGCTCAAACACAAAACTGTAGGAACAAAAAGAAAAACATATTTTTGAGTGGAGGGGGGCTTTATTAAGGTGCAATCTTTATAATTTTTGAAGATATTTCTTGCCACAGCAGATTTTCATTCATCATTCATTTATTTCCATCTTTTCCTGTACCTGCATTTTCCCCTGTGTTGCATCGAGCACCTGCATGTCTCCTCCCTCAACCACATCCATTAACCTCCACTTCCACTTTTCATCTTTTCTTCTCGCATAGTGCTCCATCTTCAGCATCTTTCTCCCGACATATACCCAGCATCTCTTCTCCACACATGTCCAAACCATCTCAATCTCGCTTCTCTCGCTTTGTCTTCAAACTGTCTAACTTGAGTGTCCCTACTAATATACTCACTCCCAATCCTTGTTACTCCCAATAAAAATCAACTCCACCGGCACTCACCTCTCCTCTGAAGTATTTAAACTCATCCATATTTGCCACCTACCACCTCTCTAATTCATTGATCAGATATAGAATATAGGCTGGTTCTACACTGGTGATCACAAACATTTTTTTAATCAGAAAATATTAATAACTTAGACTCAGGTGTTGTCTGGTGTTAGTCCAGCCAGATTAAATTTAGACTGACTGAGGTCAGTGTATTATTTAAACACACTGCCTTTCATCTTCATTCAGTCCGATTTTGTTTTTCTGCAGGATTTCCGTTGCCATGGTCTTCTATGGTCTCTCTCTTAATACAAGTAACCTGAATGGAAATGCCTACCTCAACAGCTTCATTTCAGCAGCCATTGACATTGTAGTGTACATAGCCACTTGGCTGCTGGTCAACACGCACCTCGACCCACTCTGCTCTTCTCCACGCTCATATTCTGTGGCATCATGCTTCTCATCATCCCGCTGGTTCCTGAAGGTCTGTATATTCTATACAACATTGACTGAATCAGGAATCTCTGAAAGGACTAGAAAGACACTATACATATGTAAAATTGTACATGCCTTGTCTAATAATCCCATTTGTGTTTCTCAGACAGGCATGTCACGCTCCAGGTGTTAGCCTTTGTAGGAAAGATGGGCGTGTCTGGTGCTTACTGCTACATTTATGTGCTTTTTACTGAGCTGATCCCCACTGTGGTCAGGAACATGGGACTTGGTGTCTGCTCCACAGCTGCACGCATCGGCACCATCATGTGCCCTTATGTGATCTATTTTGGCAAGTGTGTTTTTTTGTTGTTGTTGTTTTTGTTGCTATTTTTGTAGATGTATTAGTGTGCGGTGTTGAAACCATAGTAGTGTAAAAGAGAGAGAGAAATGGCATCAAAACTGTAGACAACACTCTGTAGGTGATATTAATTACTTGAGTGAACACATTTAACTTGAAAAGGATACTCAAAATTCACACACCAACTGAACATAGGATTCTGTATAAATTTGCGAAACGAGCGACAGATTTTTGCACTCAAAAGACACAAAGCTATCATACCAATGGTTTTATTTTATTTCCACCAAAAAGTCTGAACACATTGCTCTTCAGATATCTTTTTGCTTTCAGAATAAACCTTTGTAACCTGTATCTTGATAGCCTTGCTAGCATCATAGCACACTTGTTTCTTCATCGTTCCCAAATGGAACAGATTCACAACAGACATTTTGACTTGTTATAGCATGAAACACACAGGTTGAGCTTATAACATGACAGTGTGACAGTGAGCCAGCATGCAAACACCAGAATCCTGAAACTAAAACAAATAAATGTAATTCAGTCTTCATTCATTTTAATATTTACACCTGTGCTTTTCCTACTGTGACATGTCAAAATGTTGCAACCACAGGAAATAAACAGGTCAGTGACAATTATAATTCAAGTGCCTTATATTCTGTTTGCAGGTGTGTACAGCAGGATCCTACCATACATTATTTTTGGCACAATCAGCATCATAGCTGCTGCTCTTAGCATGATGCTGCCAGACACCAGAAACAGCAAACTTCCTGACCTTATCAGCCAGGCCAAACCCATCAGAGGGTATGTATGTCACTGTGTGTGTGTGTGTGTGTGTGTGTGTGTGTAAATAATTGATAAATAAAGACCAATAAGTATTATAAGTATTAGACAGCAATTCTCACAAACTAAGGCAATGAAATATTGTGGCCTAAATAGGATTTTACATAACGTTATGACTACTATTACTGCATCGAGAGCAGGTCTGGAGCTCTATGTTCGGTGTTACTTAGTGATTATTTCAACTGTATTTATCAGATTTATCAGAAATCTGTTGGAGCAAAAATGTTTTAGAATTATTTATCTAATCTGTCTCTGTTTCTCTTTGTATCTTAAAGCTGCTGCTGTCTGAAGGAAACAGCTACAGCCCAGTCAGACACAAATGAAGGCTGTTGAACATAAACAGAGCGCCCTCTGCTGAAAGAAAATTGCACAGCAAAAGTCAAAAGCCTTTAAAACACAGTATTTCTAGTATTTTCTCTGGTCTTTTCAAACACAGTACAGAATAAGGTATATCATTTACATTTGTCACCTTCAGGTTAAAAAAAATGTAAATTAAAAAAGTACATGTAAAAGAGGTAGCTGGGTAACATTTTATCAATATATAGCTTGTTGGTTAAAAAAACAGACTTGTTCTTTTTGTATTGTTTTTGGTCCTGTTTAAGTTTATTTTTGTTTGTTTTGTTTTTTGTTAGCAGGATATATGAAAAACATTTTATGGTGAAAAGAAAACATCCAGATCCAGGATTATTTAATTTAATGTGGCATTTTAACAATTTCACAGTTTTTTTTAATGCACTGCTACACTTACTTGAATGAAAAATAAATCGCCACACATGCCACGAGGGTCTTTTACAATTTCTACAGTTTAAGGACAGTTAAATTTCACAATTTTTACATCTAAAAACTATATGATAATATACATAGAATGTCAATGAATTGGTCAAATAATGGGTAGCTTCAGGGTTGTATGGCTATATGTTTTGATGTAAAATATGATAACCTTGGAGTTGAAATTAAAAATTTTCTAAACTTTTAGAGTAACTTTTACTCAACACAGTCACTCGTGGAATGGGTGACCATGTTTTTAAAAGTAACATAAAGGGAACTACAACCTCAAATTCACTATACAACGTTGTAACCTTGTAAAATTACAATCAATAATAGCTTGGAAATGAAAGATAATGGTGTGTTTTAATAAAGTATATGTGACAGGCCATTACATACAAGATCCCGTCGTATTACGAGAGCCACTTCACAGCTGACTGTCATCATCTGAAATATCGCGAGATTACCTCCGCCGTTATACCGGGCAGTGAGAGTGCTTCTGGGCCCCTGTACTGCGCCGCGCCCCCACCTCTACTGCCGATACTCCCGGTGTCTGTCTGCCTGTCTGTCTGTAGCAACCACACACACACCTGCCAGTGCCAGCGGAAAGACGGGGCAAGCATAACCAGACAGCTCAGCCCCACTAGGCTGATGTTTCTACCTTAAACAACTGGGTGTGGATCCGAACAGGAAGCGTTTGTAAAGTCGCTTGCTATCAGCTAAGTTAGCAGTCAGCAGGTGAAGTTAGCTCGCCGGCTAACTAACGAGAAGTGTTTCTAGTAATGGCTCTGGTTTTGCAAATATTCTGTCTGCCGTTGCGTTGTAGTTAGTTCAGCGTGTGGGGGTTTAAAAGTCACTTTGTTTCGCGTTGGTTCCGTGTGATGCTAATGCTAGTTGATGCTAGTCACCGTGCTAACCAGTACGGCTCTTAATTTACAGCAACTAATCCCGCTAACGTCAACTAAACATTAGCCAGCGAGCTAAAGTTAGCGTTGCACTTCCCTACTCTTTTAAATCACTTGCGGTTTTGTTCGTCGTGCTGTGAATCAGAGAGGGGTCGTTGGTGCAAGTGTGAGGTCATATTATTCAACCTTAGCTGTCCAAACTAATAACTGACAGGAAACGTGAAGTTAAAAGATTGTTAGTCCAGATAGCATCTAGCTACAGCTGATCGCACACATTGCGTTGCCTCTACGTGGAGAGGGCTTAAGATCAGTAGATTAGCATTTATATCTCGGTTAAAAAGTGTCAGCAGCTCATAGTTTGTCCACAAGTGAGTATGGCTCCTAAAAAGAGACCAGTGCCCTTAACCATTGCTCCTCCTGGCGATGGGCTATCCACCTCCACCAACTCGGATGTTGCATCTGAGTAAGTTATTCCACTAACCACATTAATATCCTCATAAATACGTCAGGAATTTGTGTCAAATGAACGTCTTATTTCTGTTCTGTGTCCTTTTTCTCAGGGCCAATTTAGAAGCACTTAAGAAAATATTGGAAGAGTTGGACCTGGATGAGCAACAGAAGAAAAGGTTAGAAGCTTTCCTTACCCAGAAGGCCAAGGTTGGCGAGATGAGAGATGATGACTTCCAGCGCATCTGTGAGCTGGGCGCTGGCAATGGAGGAGTCGTCAATAAGGAGTGCCACAAACCTTCAGGAATAATCATGGCCAGAAAGGTGAGCCACATTCACACTACTTAACTAATGATGTGAACACATTCCTCTGATGTTGCTGTATGGCTTTACATCCTCAGCTTGTGGGTGTTAGCTGAGGTGCCTCTAAATTAGTTAGATTACATTTTTCCTTGTTGTTCTTTTTATTGCATTACATTATGATGCTTCATGTCTGATGCTTTAGTCATGTTATATTCAAGTTGCTCTCATTAAGCTCTGGGTACTGTACTAGGCCTTTGACCACACAGATACATGTAGGTTTTTAAAGTGTACAATGGGACTTCTTTTTCCATTTGGTTCACAGTTTTATAACAGGACAGGTACTTGTAAGGTCTCTGCATTTGTTTCATATCTGCAGAAGGGCTTGTGCCTGAAAGATCACATGGTGGTATATCAAAAAATGTTCATGGGAGCATTATCTAGTGTATAGAATCTATTTTTCTGTTTTTCATATGATTTATTGCACTTGGTTGTGCATATGAACTGTGATTTCAACATGTTGATCATGTACCAACTAGTCATCCATAAAACCAGTATAACAATTTTCTTTCCTGTTCAGCTCATTCATCTTGAAATCAAACCGGCTATCAGAAACCAGATTATCCGAGAGCTTCAGGTGCTACATGAGTGTAACTCTCCCTACATTGTGGGCTTCTATGGAGCATTTTACAGCGATGGAGAGATCAGCATCTGTATGGAAAACATGGTGAGAGAATTAGGAGTGAAGTGACTTTGTGGGGCGGTGGCCGGTTAAGGTATTATGGGTATTTCTTTATCAGTCACAGGGAAATTATTTTCTTTTGGCACCTTTGCACATTTTGTCCTATATATCCAATGCTGAAGGTCAGGTACAGAAAACCTTTAACCATCTTTGAGACCTAGTTTGGTTTTTTTGCTTGTTTCAAGGAACATGACATTTAATCAAGGAGATAATAGTAGTTCCTTCATGGCCTTTCTATATGTACATGTTTCATCACCATAATTTATTTTTATATTGCATTATTGTTAAACAGCAATAAATAAATGGTTCAAATGCTAATCTTAAATTCTCCTTAATGTGGTTCAGATTTTACCTAATTTGTATGTTGTTTTGGACAAAAGCGTCTGCCAAATGAGTTGATACAAATTTAAATGGCCTCGAATGTGATTTTATGGCAAAGTTATTGTGGTAATCGTGACTACACAGTTCTGTACTGGACATTTTCTTGAAAAAAAATAATTTCCCACATATTAAAAACCACTATATTTACCTAGCAAATCATGTACTCATGTGTCAAATAACACTAATGGGAAAGATAGGATCTTCTGAAATTCCATTTTAGACAGGATGTATTTTAGCAATCTGTATTATGATTCTTTTTTTGTCTCACTCTGTTGTGTAGGATGGTGGATCTCTGGATCAGGTGCTGAAGGAAGCAAAGAGGATTCCTGAAGAGATTCTGGGCAAAGTCAGCATTGCTGTAAGTGTATGGTTAGCTTCTGTATTAGTAGTATTGTCATATCACATTATTTGCGTTATTGAAACAATGGTTACTTTAAATTGTTCTGTTTGGATAGAATCAAAATAAACATTGTGTTTCTGGCTGTTGTTTTCAGGTTATTTGCAGTCATTGACTTGTGTAATTTCTTCTTTCTTTGAAACAGGTTTTGAGGGGGCTTGCCTACCTAAGAGAAAAACACCAAATCATGCATAGAGGTACTCGTTTTTCATGGAGTTAATGACAAATGCTTGTATTGCATTACATGAAGTTTCATCTGTATGCATAATTCACAATAGCAAGGTTCATTGTATTTTGTTAAATTTGCATGAACCTCATACATGTGGTCAAATAGAGCTATACAGTATTCAGTACTATGGTTGGGTAAAGAAAGTCCCTTTTGGCTGTATATTGTTGTAGATTTCCAGTCAGGTAGAGTTTGTGGAACATATCCTTTTTGCCTGCAGATGTGAAGCCTTCAAACATACTGGTGAACTCGCGTGGGGAGATCAAGTTGTGTGACTTTGGTGTAAGCGGGCAGCTCATAGACTCTATGGCCAATTCCTTTGTTGGGACAAGATCCTATATGTCGGTAGGTTTGTCCTCTCTTGATTATGCTGTGAAAAGCTGAACTCAATTCAGAACTAACACCAGAATACTATCTTCCCAATTTAAGACAGTGAGCCAAATTTCCTTACATTTGTTGATATAATGTTATTTGTTGGTTTGCTGTGTAGCCTGAGAGGTTGCAGGGAACACACTATTCCGTGCAGTCAGATGTGTGGAGTATGGGGTTGTCCCTTGTAGAGATGTCAATTGGACGCTTCCCCATCCCTCCTCCCGATGCTAAAGAACTGGAGGCAATATTTGGACGTCCCATCTTGGATGGTAGTGAGAGAGAGACACACAGCACTTCACCAAGACCCAGACCATCAGGCAGACCTGTCAGCGGTGAGCAACACACACAATTGAACAATTTTCTGTTTTTAAACTGCAATAAGTGACTTTGCTTTCAGGCCGCTCTAGGAGGCAACATGAGAAAGGTATACCAACCTGGCCAGTCTGTGCTTGCTGAATGCCACAAGGGAGAGTTTAGCTTTGTGATTCAAGTTTCATCTGAGCTCTCAGTTGCTGCTGTGGAGGCAACAGTTCGCATTTCATTTTTATGTTTTGATTCATCTGTTCCTGTTGGTAGAAAACTATATTTCTGCCATTGGAATCTAATTTATGGCAAAATAGGAGAAATCTTCCATGTGCAGGATCTTATTGCAGGATCAAGTTTAATTGAGGCTGATACAGTTAGTGTGAATTTAACAGCCTTTTCTTGAAATGTTGTGAATATAAAACACATTTACCATGGCTCCTTTTCCAGGTCATGGTCCTGCAATGGCAATCTTTGAACTACTAGACTACATAG